ACACCAAGTCAAGGGATAAGATCCCCTTACCGGTCATCTTTAAAAAAAAAAAAAAAAAAAGTATGACTATTCTGCAGTTTTTAATAAATGTGTCATATTGTTTTCTAGAATAGTTCAAATCTACATTTGGCATTTTATACGTAGTTACTGTATTACATTTCATCTTCAAATGCATGTTTTATTTTTTACTACAGTGAAAACTCTGTGCATTCCTGAATTTTTTGAATGTCATTCTAGCACTCTAGAATTCCTCAGTACCTCTGAGAATGGTTAGAGAGAGTTCAAAAGCAGGCTGCAGAGAAAACAGAGTGGTGGTTTTACAATTTCAGGGTCTCTTTTCCACAAATACAGACCTGCTATTATGTGGGCACATATATAAATGCTCAGAAATAACTAAGTGTTCTCCTGTGAGGAACCCCCCTCCAGGCTCCGTGATCTTCAATCAGCAGTTCCTGCAACACTTGGAGAAGTCAGATTCCAAGAACCAAAAAGTAAAGAGGAGAGACAGTAAGCAATAAGAACAAGAAGGGACAGGAGCTGAAATCATATTTTTCTTACTACTCTCTGCAACTTTTCTTTTGTAGAGTGTAATAAGCTGGAAAGAAGGAAGAAGAGGAAGAGAAAATCTTCTAGCTTTGCCACTCACTCTTCAAGAGATTTGGTTTTTCTTCAACCTTCTATGTTTAAATTTTTGTTTGTAAAACACACTATTTTATTGGGGATGGGTTGTAATGCATTTATTCTTCTAAACACTTTATTATAAAAGCAGAGAGATTCGTATAATGAACCCCATGTACTCGTCATCCAGCTTCAACAACTATCAACTCATGGCCATGTTATTTTGGCTATAGCTCTAGTAATATATTGATTTTAAGACTGAAGTCCTTAAACACTTTAATCTTTTTTAAAATTAATTATTTTTTAACTGAAACTAATTGATTATATATATTTATATGATACAGAGTTGACTATCAGTATTTGTGTATAATATGTGATGATCAAATCAGTATTAGCATGTTCATCATTACAAATTGTAATTATTCTTTGCATCCATTACCCGGTTTCTCCCTTAACACCCTCCCTTCCCCCGTTTCCCACCTGTTGTAACCATAGGTCTGTTCTCTCCTTCTGAAAGTTCAACGTATTATTGTGGTTGTTCTTTCTCTTTTCTTTCCTTTCCTTCCCTTCGTTTCCTTCCCTCTTTCCTTCTTTCCTTCTCTCTCTTTCTCCCCCTCTCCCCTCTCCCTCTCTCCTTCCCCCTCCCTCCCTCTCTCCCTCTCCTCACTTCTTTCCTTTCTTTCTTGTGGTTTTTTGTTCCCTCCCTCCATCCCTCCCTTCCTTCCTTAGCTCCCCACTTATGAGTAAGGACACACGGTATTTCTCCTTCTGTGCAAGGCTTTAATCTTTACTAAAAAGTCTTTAATACTAAAGGACAAGACTAAAGAATATCTCAATAATGCCTTTTTTTGCCTAGAAGTTCCAGAAAAATCTAGTCTACAGATATAGATACAGAAAAGAGAAGACAAGCTTCTAAATAAAAGTAGGTTACATGTTATTATTTGAAATAATGTGGAGATTCATAATTGTGGTTTTAAACATCTTGGGGCACTTTTAAGGAGTGCTGACTCATCAGCTTAGGGGCTAAGCTCATGTGCTGGGAGGCTCAGTGTGCAAGTGCACCCCTGGGTGCTGAGAATTTACCTGAACTCTCTCTCTACTGCATGGGCAGATGGAAGGAGTGTCCCGGGGGGTTTCTTTCTCAGAACCAGCTGATGATTAGCCAGCCTGATGTAGTAAGTTGGATTTGACTGTCCGTGATCAAACTGAAGGAGTTCCAATGGGCCTGCAAGTTTAGAACCAAAGAAAACTCAAACTAGATATGGAGGACAGATCTGGACAGACATTCTTTCTTCCTAATCGGTTCTACCATTTGGGATGCAGAATATCCTCATTTGGCATGCAGTGCAAAAAAAGCACCTGCTCCCTGGTCCCAGGCACACTCCACCAGCCAGGGTCCAGAATCACATGTCACTACAGTGTAACAAAAGCCACTCACTTTATACCACAATAATTTTCTCACTTTGTATGGGTGTCCAATTTTGTCCTTCTTGCCAACTCCTGCTCCATGAACCAAAACATTTTAGTTCTGTTTATCAACCACAAGCACAGTCATGGCAACCCATCTTGCCAGATGGAATGCTTTAAGCCTGAGGATGAAAAGTGCCCTTGTGCATCCCTTAGCCCAAATTCAGCCAAACCACGCCTGACACTGACATGACAGCTGAAAGGAGCTATGCAGAGGCCTCCAGCTTGAGCCAGCACTGCTCTCATGAGATGTAATTTCCCACTCCACTAAGCTGAATTCTGTGGCTCCCCCACAGGCTACTGGCTGAGATGAACCTAATTAACCTATGGCTTCATAACAAGACCAAACTCTGGATGTAGATTCGTTTCAATTTGGCAGAAAAGCAGGAAGGCAATGGAGTTAGTCAGCCTCATCAGAAGGGGCCCCTCCGCTTTGTAGAGGCAATACCAAGAATCCAGTTGCTGGAAACATCATAATGAGAAACTCCATAAATAAAAGCCTTTTTCAAGGATCAAGTGGGTGAGGAAAAACTTTATCACCAGGTGAAATTTCTTCAAAAGCTCACAAGGCAGCTGGTTTTTCTGAGGGTAGATGTGAAGAATGAGAGAGGGACCTTTGAAGAGATGGAGACAACTTATCACATTTTAAAACGATGCAACTTTCAAGTCACCTTCAAAAAACAGGCTGCCATCTCAAAAAATGATAAACACTCAAATGCCCCTGAGCACATACAGTAGTCCCCAAGTTCCCTTCTTCCTTGACAGCCTTTGCAGGCATCTGCTGCCATACCACCCTCTCAGGTAGAAGAGAGGGACAAATACACTTTTGCAAATCTGTAAAAAAGGAGGTTAATGCTTCTTCCCAAGCAAAACTGAAAGCAGCACTCAGACCCATGAGGCCCAACAGGTATCTCCCTCACCACTTTGCCTCTGTGTTTCTGGCATATTCCATTAGAGTTTGAAAGTAAGAACCAGACTGAAAGCCTGGCCCTGGAGAGAGTTATCAAAATAAAAAATGGGGCCGACCCCGTGGCTCACTCAGGAGAGTGCGGCGCTGGGAGTGCAGTGGCGCTCCCGCTGAGGGTTCGGATCCTATATAAGGATGGCCGGTGCGCTCACTAGCTGAGCGCGGTGTGGGCGACACCAAGCCAAGGGTTACGATCCCCTTACCGGTCACAAAAAATTTTTTAAAAAATAAAATAAAAAATAGAAAATGTACATACCTGTGGTTTGGATCCCCAGTAAGTCTTTGAGGTATTTCTCCAATGAATCTTTTGCAATTTCCATTGTCTTTCTCACTGGACGAATGTTTGGAATACCCACTCTCAATGTAAAACCCAGAATAGACTCTAATTCCTTCACTGCAGTCTCTGGGTCATTAACCTAGTTTCAGAGAGAATATTGAACATGTACCACCAGCCAGCCCTGACCTCTCTGTTCTCCCCCTAGTCTGTTCTACAGGAGGGTAGTTCTTTAGAGGGCAATATCCAAGAAGTCAGTTATCTGAGGAAGGACTTTGGAGCCAGGATATTCAGCAACTGAGGAAGCAGTAGAATGGAGTTTCCTCTTCCCATTTAATTTCTAACCACACTGAACTTTCTACCTGCACAGAAGGGTGCCAGTTAAGAGTTCACAATACTCTCTCGTGCCAAGAGGGAAGAAAATTGAATGACAGTGTTTGCTCTGTCCCTATGGGCCCATCAGCTTAAGAATGAAAACAAAATACAGAAAGCTGACCCAAGACCCCCTCTCATGTGGCTCCTCGTGCTTCACAGCCAAGATCTAGGGTGGCCTGTGTGGCCAGTAGCTGCTGGCTCCTCACCTGGAACAGTTTCACTAGGACAGTCTGAATGCCACCTCAATTGTCTTAAGCATGCTATTCACCCTGGGTATCTCTTTTCTCAAACTGCCTTCTTTGTACATGTTTGCCTCGCTTCCCATTGAAAATACAAGCAGCTAGTCCACAGATTTAATAATTAGTAAAAAAATCATGACTGTGGAAACGAGAGGGAAACCCACTAAGGAAAGCTACAACTACCTGTAAAAAGCCTCGCTTCCCATTGAAAATACAAGCAGCTAGTCCACAGATTTAATAATTAGTAAAAAAATAATGACTGTGGAAATGAGAGGGAAACCCACTAAGGAAAGCTACAACTACCTGTAAAATGACTGCATAGAAATGCTTGCACCAGTGCCTGGTGCATAGCAGCGGTTCAAAAATAATGACTATTACCTTAATGGTGTGAATACCAAGGCTGGCAGCTGTTTTTAGGTTTGGTCCAAGATCATCCAGAAAGATGGACTCGGAGGGCTGCAGACCAAGCTGCTCCAAGCACAGCTTGTATATTCTAGGGTCAGGCTTACAGATACCTTCCAGGCAGGATTCCACAACCTAAGGGAGGGACAGGAATGAGATGAAGGTCTGTAAAGGTAGAGCTCCCACATGTACAGTGGTGTACTTTTTGAAAAGAAGAGCAGAAAGAAAACACTTGAGATTTATTAGAAGAAGTAACTATAGAGTGTTAAGATATAAAATGTTGCCCCAGGTAGATGTTGCCTTCTTAAATTGAATGATTTGGAAATACTGGCTTACAACCTGGGGCAAACTCAGGGAACCAAAGTTCTGGCTCAAACACCATGACCTTGTGCAAATAGCGAAGCCACAATGGGCCTCAGTTTCACCATCAGTAAAATGGGAATAATAATAGCCATCTTACTGATCTTAGTAGTTGTGGTAAAATATAAATGAAACTTGAGTGAGTTCCAGAACAACAAAGCATTTTGCTAATGTCACATATTGTGGTTACACAGAGCAGAAGAAAAGCTGTACATTTCAGCTTTATGGAAAGTATTTCACCTTTTTTTTTCCCCAGAGAGAAGGCATTGTTTACTGCTACAAAATAAATATGACCTTAATGTTTATTTTAGAAGTTAAAAAACCCCACCCATACTCAATTTAGACAAATAAATCTCATGGGATGGCTGACACCAAAGAGAACATCAGTGGCAAAAACACTGTCCCTTTCACGCTAAGGCGATCCTGTACCCTGACAGCCTTGCTTAAGCCATGTATCTGATCTGGAACCAGGGGGGCTAGTGAGAGTTCATGAGGACTCTGAAAAAGCTGTCTCAGTGTCAGGCCATATCTGATCCAGTGGTGACTCCCGGGAAGTCCTCTTACTATCCCTAGGGCTTAATCTCCTATAAAGTGGGCCCAAGGTGGCCATATATACCTATAACCAATACCCTCTGGTCTGCCCTAAGAATAGAACTAAATCCCTGACTCACTGCTGGAATGACTCGAGCTCTTCAAGGCTAAGGACAAACCTGAGAACTCCTCCCTCCACTCCACACTTGCACGCTGGGTTGAGTGAGAACTGCCCTTTCAGGTAAATAAATGTCCCGAATAAATTGGACCTTTCTACTTACTCTTCCTTATCTCCTAAGGATGTGAATGAGCTAAGAGTGGACAAAGAAACTCCCCCTAAAGAAAATACCAGGGCTGGCTGGTTAGCTCAGTTGGTTAGAGCGTGGTATTATAACAACAAGGTCAAGGGTTCAGATCTACATACAGGCCAGCCATTAAAAAAAAAAGAAAAAGAAAAAGAAAGAAAACACCAACAGGCTGGTTAGCTCAGTTGGTTAGAGCGTGGTATTATAACAACAAGGTCAAGGGTTCAGATCTCCATACAGGCCAGCCATTAAAAAAAAAAGAAAAAGAAAAAGAAAGAAAACACCAACGGAGGGCAGCAGAGAAGCAGGGTGTTTCAGACACCAACAATGCACCCCAATGAGGAAAGCAGCACAGCTGTACCAGTTAAGACAAGAGATAAGAGGGGAAGGGAACTTGAGGGAAGGGGGCGAAGTTCCAGACAGCAGACAGTTCCTCTCACTAGGTGAAATGTGTCTTGGGGAAGTGAAAAAAGTTCTTAAGATTTGTTTGATAAGCCCTTCTCTTTCTGTTCTATTTTGCACGTGATGGCACAAACCTGTTCAAGGTTTTTATCACCTTCTTGGCAAACCAGGAACCGTGGGAACAAGGTCAGTGTCCAAATGTTGATTAGATAAAAATGGTTTTACTTTATCAAAGATCTGTTACAGGAGAATGGAGGGGAAGCCTCCTTCTCAAGATAAGCATGATGGAGGCCATGTAACAGGAGAAAATCATGGCCAGAATCTGAAGTCCCTCACTGAATCTGAGGTTCTCACCCCAACTGCAGAATCATCTGTGGAGCTTTTCATAAATATACATGCCCAGGTCCCAGCCAGATACACTCAATGAAAACCACCAGGGAAAGGGACCTGGCATCTTTAAAAACTCCCTTGTCATGCTGATATGTGGGCAGAGTTGAAAACCTTTATTTTATTTTATTTTTTTGGCAGCTAGCCAGTATAGGGATCAAACTCTGGACACTGGTGTTATCAGCACCACACTCTAACCAACTGAGCTAACCAGCCAGTCCGAAAACCTTTACTTCAATCTCACTGGTCAAATTAAGGGCACAAATATACACAGTAATAGGACTAAGGAGAGGGAACATGCCACTTTCTGGAGTCAAACCGAAGTACCTCTTCCAAGCACGGAAAGAAATAGAAAGGGGCTCTGTTAATAAAATGTACAATATTCAAGGGCCAGCCCATGGCTCACTCGGGAGAGTGCGGTGCTGATAACACCAAGGCCAAGGGTTCAGATCCCTATATAGGGATGGCCCGTTTGCTCACTTGGGAGAGCGTGGTGCTGACAACACCAAGTCAAGGGTTAAGATCCCCTTATCGGCCATCTTTAAAAAAGAAAAAAAAAAGTACAATATTCAAGTTAGAGAAATTTCCCCCAACGTGTTCCAGAGGATACCTGACTCTCACTATATTTGGTGAGATGTTTCTCATTTGCACTGACTCAGACTATCCATGGAGAAATAGGCCAGAGGGAAGAGTCCTTCAGATCTATCACAACTCTGGAAAGCTCTGGAAGCCCTAATGCCAATCTAGGCTGCCTCTAAAGGGAATTATCACTGCTGTTGGTTATAAGAAATAAACATTTTAAAAGGACCCAAATATAGCCAAGCATGTTAACACTATATTATAAGCATTAAAGGTTGGGATATACACATGGAGCAATCATGTACAATTTAGTAGGGACGTAAATAGAGCCAGGGAAGGGAGTAAGTTTTATTGGACAGTGCTAGTCTAGGAATTAATGTCACAGAAACAAAGGGCAACACAATTGTCTTAGAAAAGGTCAAAGGACCCATTATGACGTGAGCTGTGATGGAGATTCTTGTGTTATGTGAAGACAAATGTTTGAATTCAGAATGTAAGGGAGTTTCTAAAGCTTATGTTTCAACCAGTTATCAAATCCCATAAATGTTTGACCTTGCTAAGGGCACAGTGATATTTTACTGTTTGTTCTTTTTTTTTTTTTTTTTTTTGGCAGCTGGCCAGTATGGGGATCCAAGCCCTTGACCTTAGTGTTATGATACCATGCTCTAAACACAGTGATATTTCAAAAGGCCTGTTTTTAACTGATTACATCTAAACCTAACTTAGTCAAGTGTCTGAATAAAAAAACCCATTCGTTCAGGACCTGCTAAAGGGCAGAACTTATTTTTGCATCCTAAAGCTAGGACAAAGACCCTGTTTTGATTGTTTTGGATCACTTCAAGCTTACCACATCAAACTGCTTCCGGTCCAAGGGGAAAAAGCTTTTCCCACTGGGAAGACAAAAATTATTGCTCAAGACTGCAGTCTGAAGGCCTTTTGCCCGAATTTGAGTTATGGCCTCAGTCATCACTGGGAACTGCTTTGCAACTCGCTCACTGGTCAGCAGGGAGAAAAATGAGTCCACAGGCACGGAGGTCTTTGACTAAGAATTGGGGAGAGGAGAAGAGCAATCATTAAGAGTAAGAACCACTCAGGACCAACAGAAAAAAATCCTCATTCCTGGCCTCCTCCTGCTATCTGGTTGTAAGAGCCAGGCCACTGGCTTGCTGCCTAAAGGGACTGTCTCCCTCAGTCCCTGTGCTAAGCTATGCATATAATAAGGTTTTAAAGAGCAACTCTAAAGTAGAGTTACAATGATTAGGAACTGGAGCTATTTATATCAATATTGCAATCAAATGAGCTCCTTACTCCACTCATGTATTGCCAATTGAAAAAAAGAAATTCAGAACATCAGAAGAGGATATATTAAACTCTAAAAGTGTATTAAGAAGATGTAATTTAATTTCTAATGATCCAGAAGGCATTTAATGATTTTATATTGCTTCCGCATCACCATTACAAACTTAGTTTCTGATAAATTTTTTTGTTTTTAAATTCAATCTGTGTGGGTTTTGAAAGCTCTTTTTTTTTTTTAATCATGTTTCAAAATCTGCAAAGGCAGGTCTGCTATTTTATATATACATATATATCCACACACATATTTTATAACAGCTTTATTGAAATATAATTCACATACCATACCATTCACCTATTTAAAGTGTATAATTCAATGGTGTATAATATATTCACAAAGTTGAGCAACCATCACCACAATTAATTTTAGAACATTTTCATTACCCTAAAGAGAAATCCATATCAATTAGCAGTCACTGCCCATTTCCTCCCAACATCTCTAGTCCTACAAAATTATTAATCTACTTTCTGCCTCTGTAGATTTGCCAATTCTGGACATTTCATATAAATGGAATCATACAATATGTGGTCTTTTTTGACAGGCTTCTTTCACTTAGCATAATGCTCTCAAGGTTTCCTACTTTTTATTTATATATGCATATTTTTAAATTGTGGAAAATATACATAATTTGCCATTTTAACCGTTTTTAATGTACAGTTCAATGACATTAAGTACAGCCATATTGTTGTACAACCATCCATTCACAGAACTTTTCTTACTATTATATTTTCAATTATATTTTAGTAGAGCTATTGCAAAGGTTAATATAAAGAGTTTGGAACAATGCACAGTATAGAGAAAATGCTCAATAAAGTATTATTATTGCTTTAAAAAAGCTTTTTGATCAAAGCCATTATGCAGATGGCTTCTGTTTCAATATCTGCTGACAGGTTTAGCAAAGAATTGTTTTACCTATTCATATATGAAGTTAAAGTTATTTAAAAAAGCTTTTTGATCAAAGCCATTATGCAGATGGCTTCTGTTTCAATATCTGCTGACGGGTTTAGCAAAGAATTGTTTTACCTATTCATATATGAAGTTAAAGTTGAGTATCTAGGGATGGAAGAAACAACTTAAAAACATATAATGGGTTATTAGTTTTTCACTTTATTTTCAGTTTAACCATCTATGGATGAATGTAACAACCACTACTCAAGGCAAAAAGAATAAAATGGAAATGCAGGTATGTTCACCACTCACTATTTCAGAGCAAAGTCTCCCAAATTCTTTTAAGAACTCCTCTGTTGTTATCTCTCCTCTTATAAATCTCATCCAGGGCCCATTTTCACCAGCTTCGATCAAGGCCTTCAATATAGTTCCAGAAGGCATATGATTCTGTAACTCCCACTCTACAGGAAGTAAAATATGCAAAAGGGAAATACATTGACAAATGGCTAGGGTTTGGAGAGCTCAGAGGAATTCCCATACCAGTTCCTATGGTATCACTGTGGTGCCAAAGTGGATGCTATCGGGAATTCGGAGAAATTCACAAAATGCAAAATCTCAATCTTAGACCACCTCCAAAGGAACAGCGATAGTAATTTGTATGAAGGAGCGCACACTGCTGTTAAGCATCAGGTCCTTAACGCTTGCTTGAGATGACTCTGGACACTGCATGAGTTTTCTTCCTTGGTCTGTCATTAGCTGGACCATATACATTAGGTCACTTACACGGTGCTGACACATACTAAAGAAGTACATGAAGGAATATGCCAGATTCTTTTTTTTTTTTTTTTTTTTTAAAGATGACTAGTAAGGGGATCTTAACCCTTGACTTGGTGTTGTCAGCACCACGCTCACCCAGTGAGCTAACCAATCATCTCTATATGGGATCCGAACCCATGGCCTTGGTGTTATTAGCACCACACTCTCCCGAGTGAGCCACGGGCTGGCCCCAGAATACACCAGATTCTGACAGCACCCCAAAACAAGCCCTTCATTTTGGAAGTGATTGTAATTCTTTGTGGCACTGTAGCTGGTATACTGAAACATTCACTTGGGAGATCTGTCTTTGTAGACTAAAGAACATTTCTATCCACGAAGAGCTAAGGCAGTAGATGAATCAGCATTTGTATAATACTGGGAACATTTGGACAAGGGTTGTTTTTTCTTGTACAAGGTTATTCTTTCTTTCTGCAGTACAGCTACTGAGGGCAAATATAATTCATAATTATATATCTAAGACTTAATCCATTTTAGACATTTTTTTGTCTTGAAATGAAAATACCTTTATGGTTTGGGCCGGCCCGGTGGCGCACTGCTACAGTGCGCCGCTTGGGAGTGCGGTGGCGCTCCCACCGAGGGTTCGGATCCCACATACAGACTGGTTCCCACTCACTGGCTGAGCGAGGCGCGGGAGCAACACCGAGGGTTGCGATCCCGTTGCCGGTCCCGGTCCGGTACGGGCGCGACACTGAGGGTTGCGGTCCGTTGCCGGACACGAAAAAAGACAAAAAGGAAAAAAAAAAAAAGGAAAATACCTTTATGGTTTTTTCTGATAAAGTAGTGCCAGTGCACTGAAAATATTTCAGACAATATAGAAAGGTATTAAAAAAAAAGTAAAATGACAAGCAATCCCATTCTTCAGAAATAAATAACATTAACAATTTGGTGTATGTCTTTTGAGAATAGCAAGACTTCTAAATTCAAGACTTCTAAAACTCAACCCAAAAATTAATTTTAGAGCTAATTTAAAGTGTATAGCATTTTTTTTCTTTCTTTTTTTTTAAAGATGATAGGTAAGGGGATCTTAACAGTGTTGTCAGCACCACGCTCTCTGAAGTGAGCCAATTGGTCATCCCTATATAGGGATCTGAACCCGTGGTCTTGATGTTATCAGCACCACACTCTCCCAAGTAAGCCACAGGCCAGCCCATGTATAGCATTTTTTATAGTCCCAGAGCTGGCACTCTCATATACTGCTGATGGGATCATAAACAAGTACAACTTCTATAGAGAGTAATTTGGCAATTTCTGTCAAAATTTTAAATGCATACTTTTGATGTAGTAATTCCACTTCCAGGAATTTCTTCCACAGATATTTTTACAAAAGTAAAGATTATATACAAGGCTGTCTGTGCAGAATTGTTCATAATAAAAACAACCAGAATGTTAAATGTATATTAATAAAGGTCTTGTTAAATCAATTATGGTATATCCATATAATGGAATACCACACAGGGCTTGGGGCCCAAGTCCGTCTCCTATTTTTGTATATAAAGTTTTATTGGAACACAACCACATCTACTCATATCTTTCAGTGCTTCTGGCTACATGGGTAAAGGTGAACAGTTGTGACAGAGACCATATGGCTCAAAAAGCCTATCTAGCCTTTTATAGAAAAAGTTTGCTAACTCCTGAACTAGACCTATGCCTATTGATACAAAAAAGTTGGGAAGATATCCTACTGAGTCAAAAAAAAAAAAGGTACAGAACAGTGTGTAGAATATGACTCAATTTGTATACACATGTTTTATACACACACACACACACACACACACACACACACACACACACACATATGCATGCACAATTTTTTGAAGGATAAACTTTTCACAGTGATAACCACTGAAGGCTAGAAGCAACTGGGGAAGGGTGAAGGTGGCAGCAGGAAATTTCCTTTGCATTTTATACTCTTTTAGTACTGACTAGTCAATAAATGAGGCTGGCATATCTAGGTTTCAATATGGAGAAAAATTAAATCCCTATTTCATGCCATCAGAAAAATAAATTCCCAGTGGATTAAATACCCAAATCCAAAAAACAAAACTCTAAAACTTAGAAAACAATACAGAACATCTTTATAAACTTTAGGAAGGAAAGAGTTTCTTAACCAAGACTCAGAAAGCTCAAGTTATAAGGAAAAAATACAGATGATTTTGATGACAACAAAAATGAAAACTTTGGAAGGGCCAGCCTGTGGCTCACTTGGGAGAGTGTGGTGCTGATAACACCAAGGCCATGGGTTCGGATCCCTATATAGGGATGGCCGGTTGGCTCACTTGGGAGAGCGTGGTGCTGACAACACCAAGTCAGGGTTAAGATCCCCTTACCAGTCATCTTTAAAAAAAAAAAAAAAATGAAAACTTTAGTATGGCAAAAAACATTACAAATGAAATCAAAAGATAAGCCATAGAAGGGAGAAAAGATTTGCAAGCAATATAACAGACAAAAGGTTATTATTGCAAATCAACAAGAAAAATGAGCAATTCACAGAAAAAGAAAGCTAAATGACCAATAAAAACACACACACACACACACACACAC